CAGTGCACTCCGAGTGCCACATATGCATCTATTTTTCAGAAAATTAAATCTGCATTTCTCTTACAAGAGCACAACAGGAACCAAAGTAAAAGAGTGTAATGGATACAGCACATAGGATAAATCATATCTTTAAAATAATAATAAAATAATAATAATAAAAAACATTTTACACCATGTCCTATATCCTGCTAATATTTTACGAATATGGCCTTGATTGTAAAACAAAAGCAAGCATTTACAATTTCTGGACTGCTTACTCTTATGCAAGGAATGGATGTTTTTGTCTTGACAAAATCTTCGTGGTAACTGAACAGAAACATCTCTGTTTCAAAATCAGATTGAGTACAAAACAGTGGGGAGACTACATTTTTTCTTACTGGTGGTTGGAAACTGAAGATACATAAGCAGAAAAAATGTTGACCCTTAATGATACACCTATTTTTTTTTTTCTTCGATGCAAACAGCTAGAACACCTTTTTGATATTCTAAAACAAAACAAAAAAATTGTTAATCTTCAGATTAATAAATTAGGTCATTATAATAATAAATTAGTTTTTTTTTTTTCAGTTTTAAAGTTCAGCAACTTCTGACCAAGTATTTACAACAATACTTGAGAGTTCCTTTACAAAAAATACATTTTCTTTTCACATTAAGCATACTGGGTATCTGTGTCTCTTATGACAAGCATTTGTAAAAGAAAAAAGGCAATGCACAAATGGGTAATTAGTATAAAAGTGCCAAGACCTGTTTGGAAAGTTAACATTGTATTATACAGTCAGAGTTATAAATGAGGCAAGCTACAACAAACTTCCAGCTTAATGTGGACAATATTCCAGTAGTTGTTTCAAACAATTGTTTGAAGGAAAAAAATAAAAGAAAGAAAAAAAAAACAAACCAAAAAAGAAAATCCAGGAGCCGATGGTGTTATTTTACGGAGCTGATTAGTGCTGCATGTATACTGTCATCAGTGTCTCTAGCCAATGCATTCATTAAAAAGCCTTTTTAAGGCTAAGCAGGAAAAGAAAAATAAGAAACACCCTGAAATGTAGCAAGTAGCAAGAGCAACGCTTACTGCTAAAATCGTGCACGTACTGTACACACGCAAACACAAGAGTGCACACACACACACACGCGTGCGCACACAAACACTTTCAAATCAAATCAAACTGTAGGTAGAATGAGATGCTCTTTTCTTGTCTTTCCTAAACTCACAAGCGATTAAGCATTGATACGGAATGCCTGTTTATCTGTTTCTGCTCTGGGTAAAATCTCTCTCAGGTAAAAATACATTCAACAAGAAAAAAATAGAAAAAATATATACTGTATACATAGTACTTTATATATACAGTATATATATGTATACTGTATATACACATGCACGTATATATACACACGTATGTATACCTACATGCATTTGTATATACATATATATACACAAACATACAAATACTTTTTGTTGTTTTTAGCATAATTATATTTACATAAATATTCCTATAATGCTAAAGTTTAAAGAAGCATGATCTCCTTTTTTTTTTTCTGAGCTTCAAAAAAGGTGCTTGAGTAATATACAATTAAAATTAAGCAGCTTCCTAGCATGGAAGTAGTTTCTAAATCTGCATACCAGTAAATAAGAACATCAACAGGAAAAAAAACAACAACCTTAAAACAGTCTCTTTTTTACTCTCTTTAAGTAAGAGCTTTGTCCAACAAAAATATTTTTCCTTCTCCTGTATGAACAACCAGAGATTGATATAAAATAACAAAACAAAACCACAACAGACAAAACAAACAAACAAAAGCCCCTGGAACTGCATGGTGTTCTTAACTTTTCCTTCCTTCCTTCAATACTGCTGTCAGAAGATCCAGTGCTCATATCAGGAATTACTTAGGCCTCAGTCATTTGCTAACTCTGCCGAAGTCTGGCTAATCTAGCCAATCAGCTTTGAAGAAAACAAAAATAAAAACAAAAAGCAGCACAAGGTATAATTTTATACATCCTTAATAAACCCACCCTTTATTTCTGCTATAACCTTTTCCTTGCTATTTCATTAACTACTGCAGCTTCTCATCATATAGAAAAATATTTGCAGCTACACCACACCTGTGATGTGACAAATTCTGTTCTAGGAGTATAGTACTGTAGCAACAGCTGGCAAAAAACAATCAGACCTTTTCATATTTTTTTTTTTTCTTCACCTGGGGTTAGGCTTTGCTGCAACAGATGCAATTTCAGAGCAACAAGAAAAACCACTATCCTGCTGCTCGGCAGTATCCTTTATTCATTTTCTTCCCCAGCCAAGCATGACCAGCTTTTCTTCTCTGAAGCTTCCTTTTACCTCACTGCCTACCCCTAGCCCATGATTCCCCCTCCCAAAAAACCTCTATAGCTATGTTACAAGCAAATACATCTTAACAAGTTTTAAAACTTTGGTTCTAAGAAAACACTTGGTCAGTTATCTCAAGGAAAAGTGGGAATGCTTTTTCTGGCACATTGCAGGAGTCAGAGCTCATCCCAGTAAGGTCTCAGAGCTGTACATGTAGTCACAAATCCAATACAATCCACTAAGCAAGTGCACAATTCTAGTTTTACTTTAATAGCAGACTTAGTCTCTCTCGCTAGCTCTTTCTTAAATCCTTGGTGAGGGTTCAATTCTTCAAACTGTTTGATAGAAGTTATCTGCCTGTAGGTTGTTCTGTTTCTGCATGCTGTAAAATCCACTGTATCTTGAATCCGGGTCTGCAATTCTTAGCATCCTCTGAGAACTGTCCACCTGGACCATGGTACCTTTCTTGCAGTCCACATAAACCAGCTGATTGTTTAGGCAAGAAGGCTGTTAAAACAGAAAAGGAAATATTAAGTAAATTAAGAAAATTTTGTATTCCATGTAATTAAAAAGGTCTTTGTGCTTCAAGTCCACAATCAGAAAACAAGATCCGAATGAGCCTGGATTTTTGCTAAACTTGGTAAAGGCTTATGCCAGACAGGATATCAGAACAGCACTCTCTGAATCACCATTTTTCATCTTCTGATACCGTATCTCAGGTGGACTGGTTAAACTGTTCTCTTAGCCTACCACCGCACAGGGGTGTAACCTTGTTGCCCCAGATGTGCATCAGCTTGATGCCAAGACTTTAACAGCCTCTTTACTGCTGATCACTGTCAAGTCTGTTGTGTTCCTGGTTGCAGTTCCACTGAAAGAATGGAGAGATCTCAGCGTTGACAGTTAATCCTGGCATGGGGTGTCCTATGGGGTCCTTCTCTATTCCTTTCTGAGGTGGCTTATGTACTACTTCCTTAATTAGGAAATCATCCACCTTCTATCTCCTGTTTGCTAGGCCCTGCACCCTTGCAAAGCAGCGCGTTATCGTGGAGGCGCCAGGGTTGCCGTGGCACTTGGCAGAGTTGTCCTTACTTCCTTGCAGGTGTAGGATAGGGGATTTAATTGTAGGCAAATGTGACTAAGCGAGGGTTTGAGTAGGTAATCATCTACAAGCGTGAATGCACATAAAATAGGGCTCAAAGAAAGAGTTGGGCTGCGCGTACTGGCTCTCCAGTCCTGCTATTCCTCTGTCGGAGAATCCCTCAGCTGAAAGGTCCTGCAGCTGAGAGGAAGGTGAGACGCCACTGGGTGCACACTACCGGAAGTGTTTGTGAGCTAAGCGCGAAGGAGGACAGGCAGCAAGCCTACTCTGTGGATGCAGATGGAGTTAGTGACAATGCGTACGCATGCTTACACTGTAAACATACAAGTAGAATGCAAGCCTTAAGAATTCCAGTTACCACTGATGTGGATTCTTTTTCCAAGGGTTAAGTTAGAAAATCAGAAGGGTTTTTATTCGTAAAAAAATTACATTCGGTAACCCTTATCACAAAAAGCTTTTTTTTACCCAGACACTTACTACAAAACAGTATTTTAAAATGTTTCAGATATGGCACTTCAGAAGCCTGTGGACTGGATTCACAAAGAAGTCCTGAGGTTCACTGATGTTAATGGAACCAGGGACAAACATCAGCAATCCACCTGTAATTTTAAACGTCTTTTCTATCGTCTTTCTTTTGGCACTGATATAATTCAAGCACAGTGGTTGACTTGTTCTTTATGTAGCAGCTGGACTATTTTGAACAGAAAGAACACAAGCTAAAACAGGCTTGCTGAAATTTATTATTTAGAACCATCAGTCATCCTGCAAAGAACAGGAGAAACTAATGAGTGACACTTGGTTGACAAAACCTTAAAAGAAAGATACATTTATGACAAAGACCTTCACAAGAAACCCGGGTTTCAATACGTCTGCGTTCTTGCAATGAATCTGTATGTGGCTTAAAGTGAGCTTTCTTAGCATATGGGTGATGCCTTCTGGTGACACCGAAAACAAAAATGATGTTTCAGCAATAGAAGGGTTTGAGGCAAATGATGCTGCGTAAGTAAAGAAGTACGTAGAACTATTGGTTACAGTTGCACAGGTAGAAAGCTGTGATTTTTCACTTCAGCTCCAACCCTTTTGTCACACAGCACTTGGGTGAAGAGCAACCTTTCTGAGAGTTTAGGGGTGAATCCATGACAATTTAAAATTAATTTTAAAATGCATTCCCTAAGAAATTCAGAAACTTGAATAGCTTACTCGTCTTCAGGGACTGGAAATGGAATAATACCAATTCCTTATGCTTCCTAATTACAACTGAATTCAACTTCATGCTCTGACTTCATCTAGAAGCTTTTTGGAAATAATTTTTTTTAGTAAAAGAAAGGTCTGTGTCAGTGACAGAAAGAATATGGACACTTAATTTTAAAAATTACTGTATTACTCCTTCTAGGTGAAACTGAAGAAAAGATGCTCTCAACCTGTGTTCCAAGTATGGACAAAGATATTCCATTAGAAGTAGGAAGTGGAATTAGATAAATTGGGGAACTGATAGAAGTAGCATTTGAATATGAAATAAGGTCTTTGTCTGGAACTTTCTTTGGTGGAACTATTACTGAGAACAAAACAGTGCTCTTTTCGTTGTTCACTTCCAAGTTACCTGCTTCTTCCTTTTTTTGGTAGTCTCAGAATACTTCATTGGTAGATATTTCCCAAGATGTCTCAAAATATTAATCCCAGGACTGTATGATGCAGTTATTAGAAAAGAAGAGAAACACTACTAGTACATATAGTACCTGACATAGGACAAGAGTTTTAGATGATGTTAAGAAAACAAAATATTCTCTTGAGTTTGACTGCAGATAAGAAAACTGCATGTATTTATCTACACATATATAGAGTTGGGTATGCCTAAAATTTTTTTTGCTGATCTTGATTTCTGTCTAGTGATAACTCATTACTACCTGGAGCAGGAAATATTTTTGTTTGACAGTGGGAATAAAAAAATCATGTAGGAGACTAAGTAAATACCAAGAGACTGACGGGTATAATATGGTTTAAGACATAAGGAGAAAATGATTTAAGCGAGTTCACATGATGTGAATTCAATTGCATACTACACACTACTCTCATTTATCTTGTTTTCCATAATAATGAAAGCCTGGAAAGAGACATAAAAATGGCACCTTTGTTGGAGCTTTGTAGCAGGACACTGGAATCCACTGCTTTTTCTGATTGACAAGCAGAAAGACGATGATCAGTAACAGCGCTATCGTGATTGGGATTGTCACCAAGGCAACAGAGCTAACTGAGGCATCTTCACTTGGGTGTGGTCCACCGCCACTTCTGTACTCTCCCTGGAGATGATTCATGTCTGCAAGGCCAAAGTGAGCACTCGTTAGCAGGTACACATGAACCTTGACAGTAACGGAAGACAGAATTATGAAACTCCCAGTAGCAGATCTTGTCACCCACATGAAGCTGGAACTTTCTCTCCTGAAATGTAATCTTATTTATATAAGCTAAACATATATATTTCTATGTAACCTTAATTATACAATTTTTAAATATATATTTATATAATTTAATTTAGGAC